TTGATATCGGAGTTAGTAAGGTTAGTTGGTCCAAGTTAGTTGAGGCCGAAATATGGTAGACCCGACACTTGGCGTGTACGGGTAGTTAATGGTTGGATTCTTTTCTTTTCTTTTCTTTTTATTATTTTTATTTTTTTTGTTAGTTATAGTTAGATTCTTCTTTTTTATTATTATTATCATTGTTCGTTTTTTTTTGGCTTTACTCTTTTCTTTTCCTCCCCTAATCTCGTGATTCGCACGGTAGATGAACTTGCACCCGAAATACGGGCAGGTTCGTTCCTATCGAGGTCAGTGCCACAGGGCTTCAAGTCGGGCTCGCGTGATCCAGACCACGTCTTCGAGAAGGGAGCGGAGAAGGGAAGGGCGCGCGGCGAGGAGGAAAAGAGCGCGTCCGAAAGCAATGAGGAGCACGCGCGGAAAGCAAGAGCGGGCACTAGCAGCCGAGAAGGAGGCGCGCGCGAAGATGGTTGCGCAGAGAAGGAAAACGCGCGGGAAAAAAAATTGAAAGAAGAAGTCGAAGCAGTGAGAAAGAAGAAGAAGAGGACGAAGAAGAAGTAGAAAGGAAGAAGAAGAAGGAGGAGGAGGAAGGGGAGAAGGGGGAGAAGGAGAGGGAGAGAGGAAAGGAAGAAGGGCGCGAGAAGGAGAAGAAGAGTAGCGCGGAGGGAGAAGAGAGAGACGAGGCGCGCAAGGCTGCGGAGATAGCGTGTGGGAGTAGAAGCAGTGAAGAAGAAGTAGAAGAAGGAGGAGAAGGAGGAGAAGGAGGAGAATGAGAGATAGAGAGAGGAGGAAGTGGCGCAAAGTGCAAGCGGGAAGAAAAAGTGCGCGGAGGTCGAAGTACAACGAAGCGAGAAGAAGAAGAAGAAGAGGAGGAGGAAGAGTAGGAGGAGAAAGAGAAAAAGAGCACTTACTTGACTATGCGATTGCGGCATCCAACGACGAAAGTGACGACGACGACGACTCGGATAACGGCGACGAAGATGAGAGAATAGGTTAGTCTTCAATGACACGACTTACCTCATGATACTCCCATCAATAGAAAAAATATATATATAATAAATAAATAAATAAATAAATAGAATAAAATTGAACGAATCTATCACTAGAAAGTGGAAAGATTCACTACTACCCCGTGTGTGTGTGCGTGTGTGAGAGAGTGAGAGAGTGAAAGAGAGAGAAAGAAAGAGAGACAGGAAGAGATGAGAGGGAGAAAGATACTTCGATCAGCTCGTTGAGCAACTTACCGCGCAACGGGTAAGTCGTCGGGGACGCGGCTGGCTTCGTGCAAATTCCATCGAAAGGATGGGCAAAGACGATCAAATCTTCCGCTGGCGACGTAGGAGTACTCCCTACTACATGTGTGTGTATGTGTGTGTGTGTGTGTGTTAGATAGAGAGAGAGAAAGATAGATAGAGAGAGAGAGAGAGAGAGATAGAGAGAGAGAGAGAGTGAGAGAGAGGCTGCCGGCAGGGTTGTTGCATATTTATGTCGATGTGGTTACATGGAGACGACGACAGACTCGACAGTATGTGGATATTAGGGGTTTTTTTTTTTTTTTTTTGCTACTCGGTTGTATAGTAGAGACGACGCCTGTCGACGGGTCCAGTTTTTTTTTGCTACTCTGTTGTGTAGCAGAGACGATGGGTGCAGTTTTTTTTTGCTACTCAGTTGTACAGTAGAGACTACGGGTCCAGTTTTTGGCTTCAGCCTTGTACATACGCATTTCCATTGAAATGCTTTGTCATATATTTGCTCTTGTTCTTGTTCCTCCGCCAACATTGGTCTTGCATCTGAGTCGCTGTTGTTTGGTGATTGTTTTCTGCTCTGCTGTCGTGATTGTTGCAAATTATGTGCTTCTCCGATGCCACGCACCTGCATGTCATGGATGCCTCCATTGTGAATCTGCTGTTAATTTCAGATGCGACATAGGGATGATGTGCTGATGAATGTGTTCTTACATAAATGATGTGCTAATGAATGTCCATTAGTCTCATGAGTGAACACACACTATGACACACTTGCCTGCTATCATTGTTTAAAACTTGTGGTTCGCCGCACTGTGATTGATTTTCAATGTGTTTTGACATTGGTATGCCGAACAATGTCTGACTTATGATTGCCATGAATGTGTTGTTTTAAAATATGCCACGAGCTGTCATCGCCCTCATGAATGAAACCGACGCCTACCTTTCAATGCGTGAGCCCCTGATCCGCTTGGGGTCTTCCATCTACAGCCCCGTCTAGCTTTGACCCGGCCTGGCCGCACGGCCCGCCCTAACCAGGCCCTCATCCAACCCACGTTGGGCCGCCCCCGCACTGCTCGCATCTTGTCAAATATTTTTTTTTATATTTTTCCACTGTTTCAGACCTTCCTCCCTGCGTCCCCGCATCGACGAACCTGCACACGGGGGACGCTGGATTTTTTGCGGCCCACCCTTCCAGGGTCTTGTGCAGGACCCCCCCGTTTTGTTTTTTTTTACGGCCTGTCACTTTGAGGGGGTGCCCCACCACCCCCCCACCACAAACCCGTTCCCCGCTTCGAAAACCGTCCCCCAGATCGGCCGACAACGAGGCCGAAAAAACTCGGTCGGGCCGGCCACGGCCGGGGAGGTCCCGGCCTAGGCTGAAACCGGCCGCGGCCAGCGTGCAACATAGCCTGCGAAAGCCATGCGGAAGCGCTGCTACGGTGACTTGTGCGGGGTGGTCTGCAGTGAGCCCGGAGCAGAAGTGGGCGAGAAAGAAGCTTGGCCATAGCGATAGGTTAGCAGCGAACATAGTTGTCATAACCATAGTTAAAGTTGTGCGTGTTTGTGTGTCTGTCTGTCTCTCTGTGTGCTTGTATGTCCGAGTCTTTCTTTTCTTTTGTTCGTTCGTCTCAGGCAGTAGGTCTGTCTGTCTATCTGCCGCAGCCTGTTCATATCCGTATGTATGTATGGTTGCCCTGTGTCTGTCTGTTTGTATTTGTCTGTGTCTCGTCTGTCTGAGCGTCTGACTTACGTGTATGACTGTGTTTTTCGACTTTGTATCTGTCTGTACTTTCAGATTGTGTGCCTGTGTATACGTGTGTGTGTCCGACTATGCTTTCCGACTGTGTGTGTCGGTTTGTCTGTCAGTCTATATGTCATTGTCTGCCAATCTGTCTGTATTTGTTTGTTGTCTCTGATAACGTCTGTTTGTCTATCTGTTGATGCCTGTTCGTTTGTCTGATGTTGTCTCTTTTTCCTTTCTTCCTCCCCCTTCTGTCTCATTCTTTCTCATTCTCTCTCTTGTAACAGTCCCCCCCCCCCCCCCACTTCCTTATGTTACGGCCCCTTTCAGAAACGGACAATTATCAGTAATTATCAGTAAAAATAATAATAACAATAATACTAATAATAATAATAATAATAATAATAATAATAATAATAATATGACAATATGCAGATTGCACAATCACGTTGAAAGTCAGATCATATCATGGTGTCCAGAAAACATCATTGCATTACGAGAATCACCAAATAAAAACACACCAAGAGCTCATAATTGACAATGCTGAAATAGTCTCATCATCATCAGTGAAGAACCAGAGTTGATATCCTATCTGGCGCTCGGCGCCCAGACTACATGTGGCAGATCCTATCTAGCCTATACTACGAAGCCGAAGGATAACGTCAACAACATTCCTTAAGTACGAGCATATGGCGACCAATGTCGCATGCTTCCAGCTCCAGGTATGTCTCGTGCTACACTTACAACCTCGATCCCCACCACACAGATGCCATGTGTACCCCTGACCATCACGCATCTAATAATAATAATAATAATAATAATAATAATAATAATAATAAACAGAAAAATACAAGGAAAATAAGCAGTAGCGAGATGACAAATCCAGATCACACCTTCACATCGAAAGCCAAATAGTCTCACTGTGTCCAGAGAGTAGCATTGCACCAATAATACACCAATGGAAGTTCGTAGTACTGAAAACCAATGTCAAAGAGAGCATTCTCTCCCCGAAGCAACACAAGAGTCCAGTCCCATCACTCTCCCACTAATCGCTTAGTGCCCAACCTACTCCTACACAACTACTATAACCTACGAATCGATGATGCAACTACTGACATCAGCGGCAACCCGAAGTACTTGAAGGTGCCGCCCATGCAAACCATCGTCAATACGAGGTAAGTGCCCCCGCATCATCATTATCATCGTTACTTCTCTCTCTCTCTTGAAAAAAAAAAAAAACACCACGGACGTCGTCATCTCCCACCAGAGCGCGCGCGGCCTCTCGCGGAGTACGGGCGGCCATACGGTCCTCCCTGGCGCCCTCCTCTTCCTCTGGCACCTGTGCCCCGTGCCCCGCTGACGTATGCCGCATGTACTGCAGCGGCCGCCGCGGACACGTGTGCCCTGTGTCTGCGGGCCGCAATCTCGATCAGCTCTGACTCAGTGTCTGCGTCCTCGTCCTCCTCCGCCTGTGCAGCAATTCCCCTGTCTCTCTCCCTCTGAATCGCGTCCAATGCTGCCTGCCCAGCGACGACCCCTGCAGCGAGTCGAGCCTCAACCTCCGAGAGGCCATGCTGTCGTCTCGTCCCGGGACGCATCAACAACCCCTCATTGCCCGATGTGAACTGCTCTCCCCGCAGCCTGTTCGTGGATGTCCCTAGGGCCTCGAGGACCAATGATCTCCTCGTCTCCGCTCATGACAAACCAAGCACACGACCTGCCATCTGCAGGCTCGGACGTCCGGACCCACCCTCCGCAGCCTGCGTCTGAACAGGCGTACGTCCCGTGAAGACGCCCCTCCCGGCGTCGTAATCCGCCCGCAACCGGTTCCCGACCCGACGAACAGCTGACCATCCGCCACCCACACCTCCTCGGATTGGCGGCGGGGAACCGCCACTATGCGCAACTCCGGGTGTCGACCCTGGCCTCCGGAGTCCTCGCGGGCGGTGGAGGCATCGATCCTGCACTATCTCTGCCGCCGTCGCTGGGTCTGCCGGACCCCACCTCACCCGCACCGGACTCCGTCCCTCTAACACCGCTGAGCGACGAACCCGACCAGTGAGGGCTCTACACTGTGAACGGCGGCGGTGAATATACCGTCCCAGGGGCCCGTTGCTTGCCGCTCTTGCGGCTCACTTGTGCGAAAGGGTCATCCGTCAACGCATGCGCCAAAGCATCGGCGTCGAAGAAAGTGTGCGCTGTGTCATCAGGGCGCAAGGGAGGCACTGCAGGGTCCCTCAACACCAAGGTGAGCCTATACGGATCGTCCTCGGGACCGTGGTCGTCGTCATCGTCGTCGTCCGGTCCATCATCTCCACCAACACCCGCGGTATCCCCATCTCCACCGGGTCCACCCTCTCCTCCGCCGCACACTGCGGCACCCTGTCCCTCATCACCCGCGGTCTTGCTGTCGCCACGGCCCATGACAACATCCTGCCCCTCAGGGACACTAGGGGACCCACCGCCCTTGACAACATCCTGCCCCTCAGGGACACCCGCGGTCTCCTCGTCACCGCGTCGTCCACCATGTGACCCACCACCCGCGGCGGCATCCGAAATTTCATGATCGAACTCCCCCTGAACCGCCTCCTCAGGGACAGCCGAGTCGTCGACGTCACGGCTCCCCCCCCCTCCTGTCTCCAAGTCCCTCTGCCGACGCTGCTCGTCGAGAAACGCGAACCGACCCGAAGGGGCACCTCCTCATCCTCGGCCTCGCTGTCGCTCCTAACCTCCCAACGCCTGCTTGTATGCCGAAGACCTCCTCGTGGCTGCTGATCCCCCAAGTCGTCCACGCGAACCTCCGAATGCGAACGTCCTCCACCACCACCGCCGGCTCTGCTGCTGTCACTCGCCTGCGTGATCGACGACACATCACCCGTGATAACTGATATGCCGTCATGACCCCCGCCATAAGTGAAGTACACTCGCTCAGCCGTCAGGTCGCGACTCAGCGGCGTGTCATCATCGTCAGTCCAGTCGTCGCTGATGTCGTCGTCTGCCGCCGCAGCGTCCACATCATCCCCACCCTCCAGCCACGGTCGCAGCTCCGTCGCTCTGCTGCCGAACACGTCCCGAACCGAACGAGCTCTGGATGGTCGGCTGTCACGGAAAGCGACAATCTGCCGCTGGATCTCCTGCTTGAGAACACTGCCATCAGGTCGCGCTCCCCACACCTCGGGCTCCACATCTTCCTCCTCATCCTCCTCCTCTGTTGTCGTCCCCCCCCGACCGGTCCCCATAACCCATGGCAACACGTAGCCACCACCCTGTCGTGCGCACGAGGCTAGTTTGAGATTGGTGGCAATCTCAACCAGCTGTGCAAGCTTGGCGAACCCAAGCTTGCAGCGCCTCGCCGTGCTGACGCACTCGTGCTTCGCCCAGTCCCTCTCCGCTAGAGAGGCAGACGTCCACAAGTGCATGACACGGATGGCGATGGTGCGCAACTCCGGGTGGGCACGTCCATGCTCAAACCACCACGCTGCACATCGCTCGGTCTCGCTGTCCTCCCTGCAATCGGCCGCCTTGGCATCGGAGAGGTCACGATCTCCCCAATCCCCTCGCCTCGAGTGGAAGGCCCTCATCTGGTCCCTCACGCTCCTGTACAATAAGCCGACCGGATCGCCGCCGGTCCGCGCAAGGAGAAATCTGTAGCACTCCTCGACCACACGACGGTCGTCGGCCATCGTCTGCAGCGAATGGTAATACGTGAGGGACCGTCGACGAGGGTTGAGGAGGTGGGCGGCGACATGTGCGGGCTCTAGCATGTGGAGGTTGTGGATGGCAACCTCACTCACACACGGCTCGATCATGTCCTCCGGCATGTCCACCCTCCTCATCAAGTGCACCAGATGCTGACTCCACTCGTAAACGACGGACATCATCATCCCACCTCTATCCATCCTGCGCAGCAGGTGGTGGACGGGCGACATGACTAGGATGGCGTACTGCACACGCTGCCAAAACTCCCCGTCCCGGATCTGCTGCTGCACCCATTGCGCCTGAGATACGTGGGCGCGATCCCACAGGATGCGTGCCCAAGCATCCCCGTGCAACATGCTCTCCAACGCGTCTCGTCGGCCTTTGAGACACGTTGGCATCAGGAAAACCGATGCAAACCGTGTCTCAACGGGCTCGACGAGCTGCACGCGAGGGCTCACCTTCCTAAACAGGGTGTGAGCAGCACCGTGCGATTTAATAAATCGCACAAGCGCTCGAGCGCGGATGATGGTCTCCTTGACCCACACCACTCGCATCCCGATATCTAACAACATTAAGTTGCAGACATGGGTGGAGCAGGGGAGCCAAGTGATCCTCCTGATGTCGAGCTCGGGGTCTGTGGCGAACCTGCGCGCTGCCACCGTATAGTTACTGGCGGAGTCTGTGCAGAAGCCGATCACGTGCTTTGCAGGAAAGGACAAGATGATGGCCTGCCACCTACAGTACACGACGTCCGCTGTGTCTCGGACCGACCCGTCACGTGCGACGGTGGCGTACAGCAGGGCGCCATTGGCGCCCTCGGCGAGGAAGTTCACGAGTGGTTTGCCGCTGCGCGACTTCCTCCCGTCGGAAAGGATAGTGGCACTGCTGTGCCGGAAAGTGGCGCGCACCTCGCTCACCATCGTCGCCACCTTCGCCCTCTGCTAAGGGATACCGGCGCCCGCTTGTACGAGGGAAACCGGAACTTGATAGAGCGAGACACTCTTTTTGCTGCCTGCCGCACCCTCTGGAACTCCGGACCACGGAAGGCGTTGAATAGCAACTTCTTCACATAGATCCACTGAATCCACGCGTCTGTGAACTTGGCCAACTTCTCCCTGGCGTACATCTCGACGTACTGGCCCGCGGTAATGAAGTTCCAAACAATGTTCCCTCGCCTCAACTTCGCCATCTCCTTCTCGGACAGCGGGTTGAATTGGCCACCCTCAGACCCCCCCGCACCGCTGCTCCCTGCACCCCCCGTCATGGCCCCCCCACGAGGATCGAACAAGTCGTGGCCTCGATCTTGGATGTCGTCTGACCGCGCCGCACTATCGATGAAGCGTCCCCTCGATGTCGCCAAACCCTGCCGCTCTTGCCGCCGCATCCCCGTGACGTCGCGCAACCCCACGGCACAGCAGCACCCCGGCCGGTCGCCCAACAGCGCGCCTGTGAGGCTGGCAGCCTTGCCCGGCCGCACTCGGTCGTGATCGGCCTCGATCGGCCTCGATCGGCCGTGCCCGGCCGCGGTCGGCCGTGTTCGGCCATGCCCGGCCGCGGTCGGGCACTAAAATGGCAGCGCGTTTGAAAACGACGCGCGCGGCGATGGCGACGGCTGTGCGGCGGCCGCTGGGGAGCGCGGGGCCGCTGTCCCGCGTGCTCGCGTGGCGCGCGCCGCTGCAGGGTGCGCAAGAAGAAGAAAACTCCTCTCCCTCTCTCTCTCTCTCTCTCTCTCTCTCTCTCTCTCTCTCTCTCTCTCAAGAGTCTTTGTCTCTCTCTCTCTCTCTCTCTCTCTCTCTATCTCTATCTCTTACAGTGGCGAGCAGCCATTTCGGCAGCATAACAGCAACAACAACAACTGTTGCCGTTTCAGATAAATGGCAGCATTTATCTGAAACGGCAACAGTTTTGCCGTGGCCTGGGCCTGGACCCACACGGTGCCCCTCACTCGGTGGCACCGAAACAAGGCGAAAATGGCCCACCGGGCCTTTTTTTTTTTTTTTCTGTTTTTTTTTTTTTCTGCGCCGCGCCGAAGGTCAGACACCCAAAAAAAAAATATGGGCGTGTAGGGCTTTTCCAGCCCTACACGCCCATTTTTTTTTTTTTTTTCTTACACGTAAAAAATGGAAAAAAAAAAAATGTACCGTACTCGGCAGGTCGGCCTAGGCCGAACCGGGCCGATTCGGTCATCGGCCTAGGCCGCGGCCGATTCGGACTCCCCGGCCGCGACCGGGCGTGCAACATAGTCCGCAGGAATGAATGAATGGTTGTGCGCGGCCTCTTGATTTATACTTCTGTGGCTCGTCGGCCTGCCCTGTTTCCCTGGCCCACAGTGCACATAGTCCCAAACAGTACTTGCTTGACTGGACTAGGACTGCTGACTCTGCACGGTGGACTTCCACCACTTGCCTTGGCCTACAGTGGGCTGACTCCGAAAGGCCACTTGTAGAAGCATCTACTTGGCCTTTCGGTCCTGTAGCAGCTACAACTTTGGCCCTTTCAGGAAAGTAGCAGCTACGACTTTGACCCTTCGGTACTGCAGCAACCACGACTCCTACAAATATTAGGACCTTTAACCCGCAGACTTACAGCTCAAGCTCACACGGGTCAACTGATATTGTACGTGGGTAATGGTGAGCCCTGGGATCGAGCCTGGGAACTGCATCTGATACCGTAAAGGTAGAAACCGTTTTCAAATGTATCACCGTCGAAGAAAGAGAGGAGGAAAGAAAGAGAGAGAAATGTGAGAATGATGATGCAGAAACACCTATCTGGCCTCAACGACACTCTTATATCTTCATGCACTTCGGTTCTGCTGCTGACGTCAGTTGAGTGCATTGTCAACTCATAGGCTACTGGTAAATAATAGTCTAGGTGTTGATTGCCTAGTAGAGAGGGCTCTGATACGTCGGTCGGCGGGGTCAAGAGTAATGCTCACTGGCGTCCAGATTCAATACTTTGGTCCTCAGTTGATGTAGTACTAATGCAGTTTCAACAGTATCAGGCTCCTTGGCATTCAACGTGATGTTGCAAACTGGAATGTTATCTCGTTATTAATAGTACTCTTACGTTATTATTATTGTTATTATTGTTATTATTATTATTATTATAATTATTATTATTATGCTTATTATTATTATTATTAAAATTATTATCATTATTACTATTACTGGTTGTTGTCTCACTGTTGCAACACCATGAGAAAAGCAGGGGACAGAGAGGAAAAGAGTGTGGGGCACTGGAGAGGAGAGGGACATCGTCACCGTGTGACGGTGCCAACCTCCTCCATCCTCCTCCATTCTTGTCCTTGATTGGTCCTCTTATACGCCTACCTCTTCAACTATAAGTGTTTGATAATGATTTACACTGAGATAATCAGTCAATTGCCTAGACTTGACACGATCGACAACAGGGCGATTGCGTGAGCTCTTCCGGAGTTCAGGAGGAACTCTGGAGGCAGGGAACCTTAAGGTACGCATGCTTCATTCTTTTCCCGTATACCCTTACAGGCTACGCCCTTTTACCGGACTGCCTGTATGATTGTATGATATACTATTTGTGACTTTCTTCAGGAATAAAGTATCGAAAGCAAAAGAACTATATGATCAACATAAGAACCCTGCCTGATGTCAGAAAGGAACTTAGGAGAACTGAAAACGAACATAGTTTGCTTGGTTCTGAAACATAAAGCCATGTGATGGAGGCCCTCGTAGGGTCGTGTCACGGCTCGTATGAGCTAACTAGCCTCCATCCTCCTCCATTCTTGTCCTTGATTGGTCCTCTCATACGCCTACCTCTTCAACTATAAGTGTTTGATAATTATTTACACTGAGATAATCAGTCAATTGCCTAGACTTGACACGATCGACAACACGGCGATTGCGGGAGCTCTTCCGGAGTTCAGGAGGAACTCTGGAGGCAGGGAACCTTAAGGTATGCATGCTTCATTCTTTTCCCGTATACCCTTACCGGCTACGCCATATTACCGGACTGCCTGTATGATTGTATGATATACTGTTTGTGACTTTCTTCAGGAATAAAGTATCGAAAGCAAAAGAACTATATGATTGGTATAAGAACCCTGCCTGATGTCAGGTAGGAACTTAGGAGAACTGAAAAGGAACATAGTTTGTTTGGTTCTGAAACATAAAGCCGTGTGATGGAGGCCCTCGTAGGGTCGTCTCACGGATCGTATGAGCTAACTAGGGAGGATCACGGGGCACTCGTCGTGCGAAGTTACCCTGCTATTCGGCCGGCTGAAGTAACAAACTGATGCAACGTCCGCTTGATTTCAAGTTCGGTGACAAGAGGGTTGTCGTGCAGTCCTCTCATTACGTTACATGATAGGTCTAGAAAGTAATCCGATACTTCCGTAAGATCGTCAAGCGGCTTCCATGGAGTAACTAAGGCAAATAATAGGGTACTCGTCGTGCGAATTACCCTGCCATACGTCTGACTAAAGTATCAAACTGGTGTAGTGATTGTCTGACTATGACATTGGTAGTGAGGGGGTGCTGTGCACCTTCCTTATTGACCTGCACGTTACATTGACAACAACAATTGATCCGGTACTTCCGTGAAGTACACTCCTTCAGTCTAACAAGAGCCATTTTGATCTGGTACTTCCGTGAGGCACACTCCTTAAGTCTAACAAAAGCCAATTGATCCGGTACTTCCGTGAAGTACACTCCTACAATCGTTAACAAAAGTCAATTTGATCAAGTGAGGTACATTTTTTCAGTCTAACAAAAACCAATTTGATCCGATACTTCCGTAAAGTACAGTCCTACAATCATTAACAAAAACCCATTGATGCGGTACTTCAGTGGGGTACACTTCTTCAACTTAACAAAAGTCAATTAATCCAGTACTCTTGTAAGGTACGCGTCTTCAAAAGGCTAACAAAGACAAAAGGTAGCAGGAGGCTTCCGTGAGACTCTCCTATCACCAATCGAACCAGATTGGAAAGGGATTCGAGTACTCCCGGGTGAGTGTACGAACTCCTAAGTCTGGGTCGATCTGTCCGACTTCCCGTGGGAAAAACATGCCTTTTGCTCACTTACATCGCACAGGCCATTTAGGTGAACTGTAAAGGCAGCTCATTCAAGAATTGTCCTTGAAATCCTATGCATCAAATGGGTAGTAGGATGGCTCCCGGGTGGGTTGTCCTAATGCTTGTTTGATTTTGAGGTCAACTAACGGAGGTTAGAAGTGATGCGATTATGTTTGAACAAGTAAAGGGATACTCCCGGGTGAGTAACCTTACGACTTGATCAGATATAAATTAGTACTAACGATCCACCTGATTAACATTAAAGCAGGACATGGGAGGTTTCCGTGGGGTCATCCTAATGCTTGCTTAACTCAATCTTAACGGGTCTGACAAGATACTCCAGCAAAGGGGGGATCCGGTGTTCGCTTGATTCCGCTGACATAATCCTAGCTCGTCTGACTCTGAGATAGTAGTAGGGTGGCTCCCGTAGGGTCATCCTATTACACTTTCAAGGGAAAGCCTGAGCTTTAATGAAGGAGTAATAGGAGGCTTCCGTGAAGACCGCCTATTACAAGTTTTAATTATGTATTGACACGTGGATCTAGAATGTTCTCTGAGTATTGGGCCAAGTGTTGAAACGATTTAACATAGTCCTCCTATCTGCTTAACTAATAAAAGGATATTCCCGCGTGAGTTATCCTGTCACTTGCACTAGATTCAATGAACTACTTAGTTGCATGAAAACTGCATGAACCTTCAAGGGTGACTGAGCGCTCTCGTGGGGCGACTCGGCTACTGTTTTGACTAACAGATTGTTTGAAATTGATCAAGTGGTGAAAGATTCTCGGGTGAATCAGCCCACTACTTGTGTATGCCAGAACAAGAAGAAGGGAAAAAGGGAGTGCTCCATCGGGAGCGACTCCAAAGGTTCTTTAAAAGAAACGTATGTGAATACCACGGGGAAAGGAATTAGAGAAATGAGACACCCCGTTTAGCCACAGTTCATCACAGAAATCGTAACTGGTTTGAGTTGATCTCGGTCAGACTTCCGCATAAAGCACCAAAGGGGTGTGCTTATCCGCAAGAGAAAGAATGCAAGGACTGAGAGGATGGGAAATATGAGTCTCCCTAAAAGACAACTTAGGACATAGGCGAGAAACTACTTGAAATAAAAGGAGAAGGAGTGACAGACGACTCAGGGCAGATAGAAGCTAGGGGTCAGACTTTGGGATGTTGATTCCAAAGCTCTCAAACCAGATCTAAAGGTTTGACCCTGTGATATCAATATGTAGGAAGTCGAGTGAGAATGTTGAATCTTTGTTGACCTGTGTGTGCAGGTCTCTGTTTTGATCTACTGCAATTGAAGGAGAAGTCCCACAAAGAGGACTTAAATTTTCTGTTATCACTCGATAACAGGTCGGTCGTTGCCAATTCAACTTTTCCCGTCAGTAAAACTATCACCTGTGGTCATCGCCTAAATG